GGCCAGCATGGTCTGATGTCTGGGCAGTGGCAGAGCAAGGATGGACCCAAATCCCTGGGCCAGGGGAGATCTGGGAGAGAGCAGGTGCATCCTGGATATAGGAGTATCTCGCCCTGTGGACAGCTCTGTGGTAGGCCAGAGGTCTTCATGGATACAGATTTCCCCTCCCAACCTCTAATGGGAAGTTCTCCATGATGTAACGTGTGACACTGCCTCTCATCCTCTCCCTGGTCCCCTCCTAGGAGACCCTGACTCAAGCATTGCTCCAAACCCCTCCCAGAGAGTTGCATAGAGCAATGACACTCACTTTGCCTTCCCTTCCCAAGCCCACAACCCCAGCATTCACAGCACCTCCTCCTCAGTCCCTCAGCATCTGAACTGCATCCAGAGAAAGGCAGGTTTCAGAACGGACACTGAGTTGGGGACCGACTGGGCACATCTGGACACAGACAGTCCCTAGGTCAGGCCCGAAGGCGCGCAGTGGTGCTGGTGGAGCACAGCATTGCAAGGCTACTGTCCATCAATATATGAGAGCAAGGGACAGCCTTCACCCGTGGAGAAAGGCAAAAATCACAGCCAGCTTCAAAGCAGACAGGAAGGAGGTTTGGAAGGCTAAAGGCTGGGCAGTCTCCACTCAATCTCCTGGAAGAAAATGAAGCATGTCCTCTTGGGCATGCAGGGTTCCAGACCCAGGAAGGATGTGCTGGGGGAAGGCCAGTGGGATTTGTCAGATCCCTCCATGCTACTTCTTGGGAGCACCAGACTGGGAATGAGGGGAGAGAAATGGGGGCCATTTGTCATAATGCTTCGAGGTCTGGGACATGGTTTTCCATGGTGTCCTTGCTGGCAGAGTGGGAAGGTGTGGCCATGATGAGAGGAGAAGAGAAAACTAATGCTGCAATGTGGAAATCCCTTTTAGGGATTTATCCCCTTAGGGCAAACATTTCTGAACAGCAGTGATGCTCAAGTCCTGGTGCAGAGCAGAGAGAAGCGAGAACCTCCATCCTGGATGGGGTCAGCACTAGAGCCATCTGCTCCTACCTGGAAGCTGGCCCCTGCTCTCCCATTCCCTAGGGAATTCAGTCAATTCTCCATAAATTGATTCCTGCAACTCTGCCCAGTGCTGCAGCCCCAAGCTGTACTGCCCCACTGCTATCCCAGGGGACCCTGAGCAGTTTCAGGGCGTGGAAGGGACCTGATGCCATGGTTGTACTTTCCCCTCTACTGCACCTCAGCACACTTCTGCTTCTGCAGAAACCAGCTGCACTTCTTCTTTGCAGCAGAGCAGAGCCCTCAGGGCCATCGAGGCAGCCTGGATCATGGCCCAGAGCGTGGTCTACGCCGATCTGAAGTTTGCTGCGGGCCCCTCATCTGCCATCCCAGATGAGGATGACAGCCCCTATGAGAATGTGCCACTGGGGCCAGTGACAGCAGCGCCCAGCCCAGGTGAGATCCCGGACACAGCCCCTGCCGCCGGGATGCGCCGCGGGAGGCAGGGTGGGCACCAGGTGGTAGCAATGGGACCACAGGGTGATGTCCGTGGGTACTCTTCTCTTGCAGGGCCCTGGCCCCGGCGATGGCACATCCCCGCAGGGCTGTTGGCAGCCAGCCTGATGCTGATGCTGCTGCTGGTGGTGGCCGTCGTGGCCCTGGGGACTTGCTGTGAGTCAGGGTGACTGCCGCGGAGGGGGACACAGGTGGGAGGGAGCACTGGGACCGGGTGTCAGGCTGGGCAAGGGATGGTCTGCTGGGGGTGTCAGGGATGAGGGGTGCCTGAGGCTGAGGGTCCGAGGCTGAGGGGCAAGTGGTGGTTGCTGCCTCTTGCATGGCCACCATGAGCTACCTCCCACCACCTCCTACTGCTTTCCCATTGTCTCTCACTCCTTCCCCTTGCCTTCCCATTGCTTTCCACTGCTGCCCACTGTCTTCCCACTGCCTTCTCACTGCCTCCTGCTGCCTTTCACTCCTTCCCACATCCTTCCCATTGCCTTCTCACCACCTTCCCACTGCCTTCCCACCACCTCCCACTGCCTTCCCATTACCTTCCCACTACATCCAGTGGCCTCCCACTGCCTCACATTTCCCCCCTCTTGCCTTTCCACCTCCTCCCACTGCCTTTCCATTGTGTCTCACTCACTCCCCTTGCCTTCCAATTGCCTCTCACTGCCACCCACAGCCTTCTCATTGCCTCCCCTTGCCTTCCCACTGTGTCCTGCTGCCTCCCACTGCTGTCTCATTATCTCGCACTGCCTCCCATTGTCTCCCCTCTGCTTATCACCATTGGGGCTTGCTTTCCCTTCCCACTGGCACTCTAAGGACAATATCTGCTCACAGCCAGACACTCTTATCCCACTCTCTTTTGCAAGGACCATGGCCCAGGTAGGGGCCATGCCTATGCCCCATCTCACCTGCTCTGTCCCCAGACTGGCAAGTCACTCGCAGCCTGCAGGATGCCTCCCGTGAGCACACGGCCGAGCAGGGCCGCCTGTCACAGGAGCTGAGTGCACGGGAGCAGAGCCTGGAGCAGACACAGATGGAGCTGG